ATTCCTGGTACGTCACACCCATTGCTGCAGCGCTCGTCACAGCCCTATCTCCGGCGTGTTTCATTAGCACATTCCAGGACAGATTAACGCGTCCCACATGCAGTCAGCAGACACCTCGCCGGCCCTACCTGTTTTCTCACATAAATGGCATTTCGCGAGGGATAAGAGTAGAAGATGAACTGCGGCAAAGCTTAAATCAAATATGAGGAACAGTTTTTGCATGGCAAAAAACAAACAAAAACATCAGAAGAGGCTCCAAGGAAACAGCAAGTGTATCTTACGTGAGGCAAACACACCGACACCAAATGTGAGAGCGCGCGATGGTGACGCCTCCAGAGCCAGCACTGCATTTCCCGTCACGCGCAGGGCCCAGGTCCATGGGATCATAGCTCCCTCGATGATCTAGAAGGTCCTTTCCAACCATTCTGATCCCACAATTCTATAATTACTCAATTTCCATTAAAATGTAGCTATAGTCTGCCTGAAGCCTCTATACCTACACGAGATGTCATTCCTGGCATGCTAACAAAACTCCAAAAACCTATAGTTTAGCCACTCACCTCGGTATCACAAATAACAATCATTTCCCATCCGGTGGTAGCAAAGTCATAGTTATTTACTAAAATGGACAATAAATCAGCTTGTGGTCTGATGCTCATCCTTCACTAAGACGGCGGATTGGACATGAGCTGTTATCTCTCGATAATAATAATGCAGAACAAATCCATAAAGGATCTGCTATATTTCCTCTAAACATAAATCCTCCTTGAGTTATACTCAAGCTATACTCTTTCATTAATTTTAATTAATAAAATGCTAAAAGTATAGCAAAGCTGTAATTTTTCATTAATTTTTAATTAATTCTGGTAACCTTCAAAATAATTTTTTGTCGATTTTGCCTGAAAATGTCCTTCATGGAGTATGTGCTTCTGTTTTTTTTAGTCCCTGCCTCTTGTCATGAAGTTTTGAAGCAAAAAAAAGGCATGTTATTCTGTCTGAAACACAAGCCCTGACTCTTTTCTTAAAATAAGGCTTTGATATAAGACATACTCACATCGTCCTAACTCTAGTGCAAATAGAGCATCCCTACAGTGTTATATTATGGCTCCTTTAGGGTGAACAGAAGCCACCGGAGAACACATGAACACCACAGCTTAGGATTTTTTTTTCCTGAATTGCTGACATACATTATTTCAAATAATAATCTTTTGCTGTATAAAAATATAGGAGCTCTGTGAGAAAGCTTTCAGTAGCAACAGTAGTAGTAAGGTCACTTGCTTTCCCTTTTGGGAGGAGTAATACACTTCACAGACATACCTTTACCTTTGAAAATTTTCGACCTGAAAATAAAGGACTACTTTAGGTTGTTTTCTTTCCCACCTCTGAAGTGAAATAGTTGCAGAAATGCCATAAATACCCTGCAGTGTGATCCATTCAGCCCATTTCAGGAACGGATCATCGCAGCTGAAGGATTATTGTTGAAAATGATAATATTAACACTGCTTTTCCAGAAGCAGAAGAGCACACAAAAAAGGATTTACACGTGCTCAGATTTTTCTGTTTCCAGCACTTTATATGCTTCAGTCCATAGGAAAAGCACCTAAGCAGCATGCTTCATGCAGTCACCATATATAGATAACAACTACTCAGGAATGCAGCTGGGGCAGCGCTGGAATTTGCTTGGGAATTTTGCTACAAGCTGTTATTTGGCTTCAATACCTCTTATACATTTCCTGGCATTTACATTTCTGAAGCAAGTCTGCTTCAAAATCATAAATCTGCTTTTTGGTGTTTTTTTGAATGATACTTGATGTGTGTGAGGATATGTTTATGGAAAGCATTGGCATCTTTGTCAATTGAACATATACCCTCCTGTTTTTGGCATATAAGTTGACAGCTGTAGTGATTCACATATTAATTAATATAACCAGGCTCATAGAAGACTCTAGCCCCTACTGCTACGGTGTGTAAAGCACACAGCACAGCCTAGGAACCTCATAATTGTGCTTCGGATACATATTTTAAGTTCTCCTGCAAAACGAATGGAAACACATTATCTTTACACTCTGGGCATAGGCACAAAAAGGGAGCACTCCACCCTGGATTTTGCAGAATATAAAATCAGTGTATCTTATTTATACAGGGTGAATCGGCCTGTGGGACAGTGCTTGCGCTGAAGAAGTGTGAAGCCAAACTGAGGAACAGCTGATACAATGAGGTTTTCTACTGGTAAATTAATGTTATTATATGTAAAATACATTTGGGTGGAAATTGCTGACAAATGTGAACCTGGGCCCACATAGGAAGGTGTCTTGGAAAGAATACTCCTAGGTTCTCCAACAGGGGTACATTCACCTGTCCTGAAAATGATTAAATCCAGCCCCGCAAGCAAAAAAAAAAATGGACCTCAGAAATTGCCAGGTGGGTGGCAGTTAATATTTAGTGTTTCACATATGTAAAACAATAATTCAGGGAAGGTGGCAGAACTGATGCTTAGTGCTGCCACTTAGTGGATCTCTGCTTTCCTTCCTTCCTGAAGTTGGAAAAGTGAAGATAGATTAGCAAGTTTTCTGCTGTAGCTCATGAGGAATCTCTGTTCTCAAATATTTATACGGTAGAAAAAGTGTAGAGGGGATGGTTTCTCGGGGTGCTGGGTATTCAGAGCTCTCTGGTAAGTTGCTTTACATGATGACACGAAGCTTGAGGAACCCTGAAGGACCTCAGGTGAGGAATGTGCTCCTCTGCTTTTCCTGCTGCCTCCTATGAAATACAATCACATCCAGCAATAAACAGCTCACGCATGCAAAACAAATAAATTCAGATGGAACTTCCTGCAGAAATTCCAGCCATAGAAGATCACAGAATCACAGAATGGTTGAGGTTGGAAGGGGCCTCTAGAGATCATCTAGTCCAATCCCCCTGCTCAAGATCAGATTCTTTTCTATCAAAAAGGATGAATTTCAACATGAAAAAAATCATCTTACGTGTGCGCAGCTTACGTTTCATGCTTCTATTATAAACTGACACACATACGGACCATAAAGGAAATTGTTACTTCTTGTACGAGTTGCCTGAACCTACTTCTGTTGGGAAGAGGAAGGTCCTGTGAGACCTTTGAGTTAGAGTGAGGCTGATAAAATCGGGCAAAATGTGTGTCCCCAAGCAATGTGTTTGATCCACTCTTCAGGGCAAAACTCAAAACACTTTCTCGCCTCAGTGCCTTCCAACATCAGCCTAAAGGGACATCCTTTGGAAAGGAGCACCCGTGGTGGTGCCTTCCACCCCACCTCCTGCTTCGGAGCCTGCAGGCCAAACGCAGCTCACAAGAAGGAATTCCTGGGACACTGCTGGCAGAAAATTTATATATATATCTATATATATAAAGACAGTTAATATTACCTATACAAGCAAAAATCAATGTTTGCTGGGCCATCTGAGTGCAACTGAGCAGACTAGCTAATATATCGGTGACTGAATGCAAGAACACAAAAAGCAAAAAGAAAGCCCATATATTTTCTCCTAATAAACGAGAGAATGCAGCCTAGCTATGACTGTTTGCTTATCTCTAAATAAATCAAGTGCTGTTCATATACGCATGTTTCTCCCTATATGGAGAGCCCATATGTGCTTATGCTGCAGAATTAAAGACTTAGATAAGGACTGTTTTAATATATAGGTGGAACTGTGGTGAGTCACAAAGCTTATATTTATTCTTTCCGTGGGGAAAATTAAAATGAACACAGCATATATCAGCTCCACACTATTCTGGGATGGCTGAGCCAATCATAGTTTATTCTACGGTTAGTGAGTAGTGAAGTGGGATAGAAATGCAATTCAGTCAGTTTTCAAGAGAGTGAAGCAGAACTTGTCCTTGTCTTCCTGCTCTGTGGCGAATTCTGTTTAGCACTGCAGCAAGTCCCCCCTTTCTATTACAGTAAGGCACTGGCTTCTGATGTCTGGTGTATTCTACCTCTGCAAGAAAAAGGTGAATTCACAACTGCAGGGAGCCAAAGTTCAATAAAATGTGAGGTTTACATAAAGTTTACCCTAACGGGAAGAAGCAATCTATTTAGAATCTTCCATAATTGAGATGCAGATAGATTTTAAATTTGTTTAAATAAAATGACTATATGAAAGAAAAGAAAAGAAAAGAAAAGAAAAGAAAAGAAAAAAAAAGAAAAGAAAAGAAAAGAAAAGAAAAGAAAAGAAAAGAAAAGAAAAGAAAAGAAAAGAAAAGAAAAGAAAAGAAAAAGCCCCTGATTTGTTTCATGCAGAACCCTTGAGCTAGACTTTCTAAGGCATTTAAGTATCTAAAATCCATGATTTCTTTTAAAAGGCGTTCAAGGAAGTTCTGTTCCATGTTCCAGAACCAGTAATTGCAGCCAGTTCCATAAATTTCTTTTGCAGATTCTTTTTTTTTTTTTCTCCCTAGGAAAATGTAAAGATGAAAATAAGGAAAGAAGTAGAAAATATCATGAGATTAAAGTATCTGAGGCATTCATTTGGGTTTAACATGCATTTATGATACTAAACTATTTTTCAAGAAACAATCTCTAGTAAATGCCTCTGATATGTGCTTCCAGATGCACTCCAAGTTTTATTGTTCAGCAGTAACAATAAAGCCTTGCTACCATTTAAACAACATTCTGAGTGGAAAACACATTGATACTGTAATTCTCGAACCTCCTATTATCGTATACACTAGTTCTGGATTTTATTCCTAAATTACTTATTTCAGTAAATCTGATTTGGCATTAGGTAAATGGTGGAAGCCGAGAGAAAAAAAAAAAAAAAAAAAAGCCCTGTCAGCAGTTGTACTCACGTTTGAATCATCATTGATTAATGGCTGGGGTCATTTGGGCCATTGATCAATGGCCTCAACCCCGTCCTGCATTTTGGCTTATTTCTGTATTATTTTTTTCTTTTGTGCTCCACATATTGGCAGGCAGAGGCAGCAACTCAGTGCCATTAACACAGAACAGTTTTCCTAAAAGAAATGCCCATTTAAGCACGCCATTGGGAAGGACTTGGGAAATGAGGTGAACACGGCCGTTTCTGAAGCCTTTTCCAGCTTCACTCATCAACTGAGCTACAGCAGAAACAACCTCTGCACACAGCATGACTGCTCTGCCCTGCCAGATCCCAAAGCGCAAAAATTTCTCACACCACATCAGTCCTATCCTCTTTTTACCCTGATATTTTGGCCACTGCTTTATGATATATTGTACAGTGACCAAAACCAGAGGCTTCATGGGAATACAAAATTACTAACTATGTACGTAACTAGATATAACTATATGCAGGACAAAACTTCTCAACTAATTTACGATGCCAAATTTTACGTCCTAAATTCTTAATCTTGCTAATGTAAGGATACGTATTAGTACTCGTTAACATACAATCCCTTTAAAAGCACTTCAGTTTTGTTTACTGCTGTATCTTGTGGTAGGCTGCTGAACTACATTATTACCAAAAAAATAGGGAAAAAAGGAGGGGGATGGGGGGCTACAATTGTTTTTGTACTGCTTTTCAGCTTAATAGATGAATCCTAGCTCAGATATGATGACATGTTGAAAGCGCGGCCCCTCCTGACCCCAGGCTAGTTGGTGGTGGTGGTGTTTCCTCAGAAACATGGCCTTGCCTCTGCGAGCACACGGCTTTCTCTGCTGGATGGACCCTAGGCCGGCTCGCATGGCTCGGACAGCCCTCCCGTCCACCCGAGCCTCCCTGCTCCCTTCCCCGCACGGGCGCCGTGACCCGCTCCTGGGGCTTCACC